GTATCTATAACTATAAAAAGAAATAATTTATTTGAGAATCCAGAAAATTTATAAAAATTAACAGAGAAAAAAGTTATTCATTTATATAAATAAGGAACAAGTGAATAATAAATATTGGAAAAGATATTTGAAAGAAGATAAAAGAAGGATATAAATGTAGATAGAATAAATAGTGCTGAAGAAAAATTAGAAGAATTTCATAATTTTGCATCTGCAATAGATTATGATTAAATATTAACAGTATCATACTTTTTAAGAAAAGTTCCTGGATCTTTTGCAGTTGCTTAAAAAATAATGACAGAAATATAAAAAAGAAATCCAAATTTTAATCCAAAATCTATGCTTGATTATGGAAGTGGTATAGGAACATGGGCATGGAGTTTCAAGAAATTGTATCCTGATGTTAAAAACATAGTTTGTGTTGAACCAAATTTATATATGAGAAAATTAGGAAAATTTGTTACTTAAGATTATATTAAGGATATTAAATTTTATGAAAGTTTATCACATACACTAGAATTAAGTTATGATTATTTTGATTTTATAAGCATAGCATTTGTTTTAGAAGAAATTAATCATCCTGAAGCAAGATTATTAGCACTTTAATCTTTATGGGCTAAATTATCTGATGATGGTATTATGGTCTTAGCATGTCCTGGATCACCAACAGGATTCCGTTTTGTAAATGATTTCAGAGAATGGATATTAAAATAAAAAGGGTTTATTGTTGCACCATGTTAACATTAATAATCATGTCCTATGGCTAAAGAAGGATTTTAATGGTGCCATTTTAAATAGATGTTTACTGCTTGGCCAAAGGATGGTAATCTTAATTATATAACTAAGAGTATTCCCAAAGTACATTTATGAAAATACTGCAGTGACTGAGAAATTCTCATATTTGGCTGTATCTAAAAAACCTTTGATTTAAGAAGGATAAGAATGGCCAAGAATTACATTTGATCCTTTAAAAAGAGGAAAGCATCTTATTCTTGATATGTGTACAGAATAAGGATAATTGGAGAGGTATTAAAATATATATAAATATACTTAGACGTATAGTTGCCAAATCTCATGGTAAAGAAGGTGGTTATTATGAAGCCAAGCATTTAAATGGAGGAGATCTTTGGAGATTCCCTAAATTGCCTCCATCAAAAGTCGGAAAAAAGAAAAGAAAATAATCAGTTAAAATTATTTGAAGCATTTGTATGTAGATCTGTATAATAATATTATTAAACTGTTTATTTCTTATATAATGAATACAAAATCACATCATAGCTCTTAAAGATTCTATTGTTCCCAACACCATTGCTAAGATAGCTACTATTAAAACAAATGTATATGTTCCTTTGGGTTAAGGTTCAGATGTCCTTTAAAAATGAATCATATGGGCCAATACAGGGAAACAAAACTTATAAATAAATCTATTNTAAATATTGGAAAAGATATTTGAAAGAAGATAAAAGAAGGATATAAATGTAGATAGAATAAATAGTGCTGAAGAAAAATTAGAAGAATTTCATAATTTTGCATCTGCAATAGATTATGATTAAATATTAACAGTATCATACTTTTTAAGAAAAGTTCCTGGATCTTTTGCAGTTGCTTAAAAAATAATGACAGAAATATAAAAAAGAAATCCAAATTTTAATCCAAAATCTATGCTTGATTATGGAAGTGGTATAGGAACATGGGCATGGAGTTTCAAGAAATTGTATCCTGATGTTAAAAACATAGTTTGTGTTGAACCAAATTTATATATGAGAAAATTAGGAAAATTTGTTACTTAAGATTATATTAAGGATATTAAATTTTATGAAAGTTTATCACATACACTAGAATTAAGTTATGATTATTTTGATTTTATAAGCATAGCATTTGTTTTAGAAGAAATTAATCATCCTGAAGCAAGATTATTAGCACTTTAATCTTTATGGGCTAAATTATCTGATGATGGTATTATGGTCTTAGCATGTCCTGGATCACCAACAGGATTCCGTTTTGTAAATGATTTCAGAGAATGGATATTAAAATAAAAAGGGTTTATTGTTGCACCATGTTAACATTAATAATCATGTCCTATGGCTAAAGAAGGATTTTAATGGTGCCATTTTAAATAGATGTTTACTGCTTGGCCAAAGGATGGTAATCTTAATTATATAACTAAGAGTATTCCCAAAGTACATTTATGAAAATACTGCAGTGACTGAGAAATTCTCATATTTGGCTGTATCTAAAAAACCTTTGATTTAAGAAGGATAAGAATGGCCAAGAATTACATTTGATCCTTTAAAAAGAGGAAAGCATCTTATTCTTGATATGTGTACAGAATAAGGATAATTGGAGAGGTATTAAAATATATATAAATATACTTAGACGTATAGTTGCCAAATCTCATGGTAAAGAAGGTGGTTATTATGAAGCCAAGCATTTAAATGGAGGAGATCTTTGGAGATTCCCTAAATTGCCTCCATCAAAAGTCGGAAAAAAGAAAAGAAAATAATCAGTTAAAATTATTTGAAGCATTTGTATGTAGATCTGTATAATAATATTATTAAACTGTTTATTTCTTATATAATGAATACAAAATCACATCATAGCTCTTAAAGATTCTATTGTTCCCAACACCATTGCTAAGATAGCTACTATTAAAACAAATGTATATGTTCCTTTGGGTTAAGGTTCAGATGTCCTTTAAAAATGAATCATATGGGCCAATACAGGGAAACAAAACTTATAAATAAATCTATTATACTTATAATAAGGATCCAAAAATACTACCCATAAAATTTAAAAAATGAGATAGATGTGGAACATAGTATGCTATAAAATATATAGACATCATAGAAAAAGTTCTAATCACAATTTAGATTTTGGTATCTGCAAACATGGAATTTTCTGTATCATTTTGAATTTAATTATTTTCAAATTCATTAATTTATGGTTATTATTAAACTTCCTAATAAGATTATTTCTCTAAAATCATTCTTTCTATTATTTAAACTGCTGGGAATAATTACAAAGGATAAGTTAATAATAAACTGATAGAATAAAATACTATTGAAATGAATTATAGATAAGGATTCTATATTTATTATAGGAATTACTTCTAAATTGAAAATAAGAATGGGTTTTATATCTGATTAATAAATTGGAACAGTAATTAGAGCAATAAAAATTGAAATTCCAAATGCAGTAATCATACTATTAATTGCAACCATTTTGAAATCAAGTTTATTGACCATACTGTCTCTGATTGGTAGTATTGTTAATATACCTTCGCAACAAAGAATAGCAACTCCAACATAATGAAAAGAGTCTTTATTATAAAATCTATTAAATTACTTCTAATATTAATGGCATTATCAAAGCTATACAATCCTTTAGAGAACCTTAAGTAACAATCATAGAGCACTACTAAAAATCCCATAATGGCAGCATAGAACCCGTATTTACTTGTTAAATGAAAGAAATGGATGTTCTTTATATAAGATAAAGGAAATATTATGAGCAATGTCATACATAATGATTGCCATTTCTCAAATTCAACTCCAATCGATAACAGAGATTGTGTTACAGATTCAGTCAAAAATATTAAATAGGCTATGCATATGCCAACCAATTGTAATACAATTGCTATATCTAATGAAAATGCCCATTTAAGACCCAAAGTTATACGAATTACATCAGCATATAAAATTTTATCTACTGCCAAATGATCAGCAACTGCAATCAATAAAATACTGGATCTAAAATTATTAATATATATATATCACTAAACACAACTATAGGCAACTGGTAAAAATAAAAATATTGACCAAAACCATCCCACAGAATAAGTTACAAAAGGTAATACAATAGCTCCTGCATATGTTGTTTTAAAATCATATACCAATTCCTAAATTAGATTTAACAAAGTTAAAATAAGCTTATATTGGAGTTGATTTATGTCTATCAGATTTTTTAGAATTAGCACTCAATTCTTCAAATTCTCTATTCTCCATTATTCGTTTTTATAAATATAATATTGTTTTATATTTTTATAATAAAAAGTTCTAATATAGTTGCATAAACATAAATATATCTCATTTATTTCAATCAGTCTATGAGTTAACTGTTGGCAACTCGACCTAATTGAATTATTTATCTTCTTTAGACTTAGTGACAGACTAAGAAAACAATCTTCTGTTTAAATACACTAATTAATTTGACACATGGCTAAATAACACATTACAGATATTTTTTAACAATGAACCCCTAAGTTAAGTATTAAATATACTTACTTATATCATATGGATTTCCACTGTCTAAAGTCCAAGTTTTCTTTAAGTGTTCATTTTTAGTTTAATTCTTGCAAATTAGAAATGTATGATAGGAGAACAAAGCCATATTTAAAATTGTAATAAAAACTAAAGCAACCATCATAACTAGACTATATATAAAGATAGTTAATTAGATAATAGAAAGTTTAACTTTTTCGAAAATAAACTAAGTATTTAGAGTGAGTAAAAAAAATAAAAAGATCTTACATTTCTCTTTTATATACATGTGCCAATCCAAAAACAATGATGATCAAATCTTAAAACAAAATGAGAAAGTCTCGAAGGTCTGTATGTTTTACAAGTTGGAAAATATCTTAATCTGATTGTATGAGTTTCTAATCTGACAATAATATGTTAGATGTCTATTTTCTTAGTTGATTAAGGTATTTACAAGTTCTCTATATCATCTTCATGTTTATAATACTATCTTCATTTATGTTGATATTTTACAATTTTTGGCATAATTCCAGGATCAGTACAATAAGTTATGATCAATAAGTATATAGATAAAAGTGATAGAAATAATTCATAATATTATATCTTCATCTAAGAGTTACAATTGAATTTACATAAATCATCTGATATAGAATAGCTTTAATAAACAAGAGTAAAAGAACTCTTAGAAATTTAGTACTTTATTTGGTATAAAATATTGTATCATCACAACAAGAATTATTTCTGCCTGTCCATTTCGAATGGGAGTAGAATTCTCATCAATTGATATTTTTAATTACTAAATCTATATTTTAATACTTCTTGATGGTAATTCATTATTATGCTTTATAAATAAAAGTATAAATTATAGAATAATATAATAAAATTATCAAATTTCAGAATCGTTTACTATTTTAAAATGGTGTAATAATGTAAGTAAATTATTAATAAGAAGATATAGATGATTCTGGTTCTATCATATCTTATTCAATATTATCATAATCTTTTTCTCTTGGTTTTATTTTCTTTATGAATTTCATTTTTTATAAGCATTCATAATTAATAATATTTGGAATATTAGACTTTATTAATATCTTTTCGCATTTACCATAATTAGTATTTATCCAATAATAAATTTAGTCATTCAAGTAAAATATTGATTCTGCATAATTAGTTATATCATAAATTAGATTATTGCTCAATCTCTATCTCAATTCATTAATTGTTATTAAATCTTTTACAAGTAAATCTTAATGTAACTAAGGATTCTAACATACAAGTTGCATTTTTTCTATATGAAACTAAATTTTAGATGTCTCATTTTTTGATTGATCTTTATTTACATTAATTAATTCTCTAATAATTTTTGCTATTATATATTTAATTTTATACATTTTTAATCTTAAGGAATTCCTTTAAATTAAAATTCACTTAAATTTAAATTCATACTATTTCTTAAATATGTTTACATTTCCACTTTTGAATATTTCATTTTAAATTATATCACTTGTAAATAATCTTTATATTTTAATCTTTCAGATAATGGAAGCATATCACTTAATAAAGCATATTTAAGCTTTTGAAGAGCTAGATCATAATTATGATTTCTCAATAGTTTTTATATTTCAGGCATATGATCTGCAAAATCTGTAGTATCTAAAGTAGACATATTTTATTTTTCTAATTGCATTCTTGTGATTTCTTTGTTAGCTAATCTTTAAAATATAGGAGCTGATTCACTTGCAATATCTTTTATTGAACTTTCACTAGCTATTCTTAAAGAACTATCATCTATATCTATATTATCATCTTCATTTTCTATTAATTTTTAAGCAATATTTAAATGTTTCTTATTCATATTTTTTTCAATTTGATTTTTCATTTGAAATACATTTTTCTCTGTTTATGTTACTTAAACAGATTCATGTAATACATTTCTTATAATTTATCTTTTTTCTAATTTTCTCATATTTTTTAGCATAGTTAAACTTTATATTGCTAAATGTTTTGGTAATCTATTGCACTTACTTACTTAAAATAAATCTATGTTAATCTTTTATATATAGTCTAAATACCTAACTTAGCAATTCTAATATTTCAATATTACCAACACTTGCAGCAACATGACCCAATGACCATTCACTTATACCAGATTTTTTTTAGAAATCAAATAATTACTAATGTGATCTTAATTAATATAATCTCTTATTATATTCAGCTGCATATTAAATTGCACTAACTTAACCTTTTCTAACAGCTAAATCTAAAGGTGTCCAACCTTCATTATTTTCACTATTTGGATCAGCATCTAATAATAAAAGTAGATTTGCCATTTCTTTTGCATCTGGACCCTTTGAATAATTCATAAATAATTGATGTAAAGGTGTATTACCATCAATATTTCTAAAATTAATTAGATTTAAATCTGTATTTTATGTAATTGAATTATCTTCTTCATTAAGATTTAAAATTATTTTAAAAAATACTAAATCTACTCTTTAACAAATAACATGGATTGTTTAAGGAGCAAATTTTCCACCCAAACTTCTTAATACTTTGACTGATCTTTATAAAAGTATATTTTTACCTTGTTTTTGTTTCAATATAACAAGCACTCAATGGTGTATTTTAATCAAAATCTAAATTATTTATTTGTTCTGGTATAATTTACATTAAATTTTAAAGAATACCTATTTCATTTGATGAACCTGCTTAAAAAAATAAATTTCTGTATCTATAAAATAGTATTTATTATACTTATAATCAGTTTAAGAGAAATTAGGTTCAGAAATACTCAAAAGTTTAACAAAACCTTCAAAACTAAGACTAGTAGTCTATAAAATAGATATTAATTTATCCTTTATATGCTAATACTTCTCAAAGTTAATCTTCATTGGTAATGCTGGTTTACAATACTTAAACCAATCAAATTCAAAATATTGCATTCCATAAAGCACTTTATGAAATCCTTTAGGTATAGTAGAGAAACAATTCATTTAGATACATAAATGTTCTAGATTAGGAAAGTATAGTTATTCTATATAATTATTTGATAAATTTAAGTATTTAAGTTCAGGAGGATTGATATTAAAGACTTTGATTAAATTATCTTGCATATCTAAATATTCTAAATATTTTAAAGTTTGTAAAAATATTGGTAAGATATTAATTTAGTTACTACTCAAAATCAATTTTTGTAAATTAGTCATACGCCTAAAATTAAAAAATAAATAATAATTACATTATTTAAGGAGGTACAGTTGTTAATTAATTTTAAGATAAGTTCAATAACTTTATATTAACTAAATTTTATTGTAATTTAGGAATTTATCTAAGTTGTTAAGATGGCAATTCTAATTTTTCTTCAGTATAAAGTGAATCCTAAATCTATTATATTTTTAGGTAATACTGTTTCATATGGTTATTTTTATTTATGTTGGTTATTTTTACCATTAACATTTAAGTTAGTTTCTCCATTTTAATCTTTTGCTTCTTAAAAACTAAAAAATGGCTTTTCTTTTAATTGATGTATACTAAGATTTCCATCATGTTCATCTTGAATCGCATATGAATCAAATGAAGAATAACTTAGTACTGATGGTTTCTGTTCATTTTATCTATTATCCATTGTATTAAAAAATCACTAAATATATTAAATTAAATAATATCAATCATTATCATCTTTAAATTCATCGTCCTTTACCTTATGATTTAAAATTGAAATATCAATTACATTCATTTAATTATCATTCTAAAAGACATCTGAACTTTCATTAAATATATCTTCTTATATATGTGGAAGAAACGAGGCTTCAAATTATTGAACAACTCCTAATTTTTCATTCAATTTTTTGATCTTAAAATTTTATTTTTTATCTTTTATTGGACGATTTGAAATAAAATTTAATGGATCTTTAGCTCCTGCTAAATATTATTCTATAAATTTAATATATATTTCAGCATCATTTATCCTATTAGAATTAATTAAATCCAAAAATAAAACATTTTCGACATAAAATTGAAACCAATAGTTGGTTGAAAGACAATGAAAAATATCTCTAAAATCTTGAATTGTATAATCAGCTGATTTGGATGTCTTTTTTTTATTAATAAAATTTGCCAATTATTTTGAAATAGGATTTTCTTAAAAATACTTTTCATTTTCTTATATTTTCTCCTCCATAAACTTTTTAAAGTTATTTCCAAATGTTTTTGGAATATTTTTAGTATCTGCATCTAAACTCATCAAAGTTTAATATCTATCAACTTAAACTTGAGTGTTTAATTTAGGATTTTCAGTATGAAAGCAATATTATTCATTTTGATAATATAATAAATTTCCATTGTATTCCTCTTTATCCTAAGATTAATCAACAAATTCTCCATCAAAATCATTATAGAATTAAAACATTTACAATATTTAAAATTTTATAAATTAATAATACATTTTGTAAATGATTATATGTTTATTAATAGACATTCAATCAGAATTTATTATCCATTAGTATAATCTTTTAAAGTATTAAAGAATAACAAACACTTTTAAAATATTGGTGTATAAATTTGATTATATCACTTTAGGATATATTCCTTTAAATAGTTTTCCATTAGTATTCAATATTTAAACTTAGTTTTTTTTAATTAACATAGTATTAATAACATTTCCTATTGGATTGATTTGTAAGAACTTTAAATTTTCAACAGCAATATTCAATAATTCAATATAGTCATTTATATATTAAAATTAGAAGAAGATAGAGAAATTCTTCTCCTTTGTATGAATCCAAATTTATGATTTCATATTAGATTGATGAAAAAAATCAAATGTTTATGGGGTAAATCATCAGATCCACTTGAATAAGCTGCAAAAGAAAAATAGGAGAAGTAGTTGGTGATTTATTTAAAAAAATTGAATTCTGTTATATATATATTAATATAAAAATATATCATTATCTAAGTATATTGAGCATCATCTAATATGTTTTTGCACTAATAGGTTTTGTTTAATAATTTGGAGGGGCATTTTTTGGAAGAATAGTCTTACAAAATTTTCTAAATTTCATTTCTGGAGTAGCCTTTGGTTATTAATAAAATAAATCAATTAGATTAAAATCGCTTTGTTAAATCAATTATTATTTTTAAACTTCGAGATCTGGTTAAGAAAGATCTGCTTTAACAGGTGTTTTGTAAATGAATTATTTTGATCGTACATTAGTAAATGAATTCTAAGGTTTTGGGGAATTATCAATTCTTCTATATTTTTTAGGAGTGCTATAAAATGCTCTTTCTCTATCTTTTAATATTTATGAAGGATGAAAAGGTTTAATTACATAGTTAAATTCTACAATAGATATTTTATTATCTTCATCTCTATCTGAAGCATGAAAGAATGCACAAATATCTTGTTTATCATATTGAATATAATTGGTTTTAAAATAATTTTCTAAACTAAATTTAATATATAAAATATATAAAATACTGTTATGCAGTGAAATATCCAAGCTAGTAATGATCTATCATTTAGAATGCTTATTAGACTGATTCTTTACATAAGTCTTTGATAATTTTGAGATGTTTAAAATTAGACAATTCTTAATGGAGTATTTTGTACAAACCCCATTCAACTTCATTTGGTAATGTTTTATTGGCTAATACAAAATATGAATCTCTAGCAGCAGCTGTTTCTTTAAGAATAAGATCAGTTTTTGGTAATATTTATTTAGCAAAACTACATAATGATTATAAAATACTCAGTATAGGTTACTCTTCCATCTCTATTGAAATCCAAATATTAAAGTAAATATGATGCTTCTAAACTTGTGAGACTACAATTATTATCTAACATAAAATCAATGATATCTTGATAAGAAATTTCTCCACATCTACTTTTGTCCATTCTTTTGAATGCTCTAATTTGATAAAACAATTTACCAGCATAAGGTTCAAATTATGATAATTAAGAAAGTAATTTTCTGACAGTTTCTGTTCTTCTTTCACATTCACAAATTTCAATAATAAGTTCTGTTAACATTTATTAATAAAATAATAATACTTAATATTAATATATATTATTATTATTATCAACAGTCACTTGGTCTGTAATAATCAGGAGCTTAACTTGGACATCTTTCATTCATATGTTCATATGGATCAATTGTATTGTATCCATCTAATTCCATTCTATGAGTTCCCATTATTTAACAATATGGTAAATCTGGATCATTAATCTTACATTTATCAGGAACAACATAATTTTTATCAAAGAAGTTTAATTAATAAACATCTTTTGGAGTAAATCTATAAAATATATAAAATATAATTACTCTGTTGCTTCAACATGATATTATCCAAATAAACCAGCTGCCTTATATAATCCAATAACAAATGAAGAACATACTTAACTTGGTCCATCACTGTAAATCCATTCATCCTTTTCAACCATAGCATATAAATCAGCCTTAATTTAGATATATTAGTAATACAATTTCTATTCCTCTTTTAGCAGCTTCAATTGTGATTTCTGGGATTGTCAATCCTTCAGTTCCTAATCTCTTATTTAATCCTTCTCCAACCATTTTTGATGAAATACTTGGTGCAAATTTTTCAATGAATGAAAATATATAAGTAGCTAATTCAGCACTTAATAAAGTTGGATAATTATCTTTAGGTGTATCTATCCATCCAAATATAAAATTATGATAACCATATGGTTATCCTTCCATAAAATTCCAAAATTTAAGAGCACCTTCTTAATCCCATTAAGCTCTCTTCTCTGGACTTAATGGTAATATTGCTACATTAAATCCTGCATTTTTAGCATAAACTTTCCAATCTTCCCATCTATTCTTTTAAATATTCTTTTTAGGCCAATACCATGCATCTTATGATTCTACTACCCATTTAACACCATCTATTTCAAAAATGACTGCACTATGTCCTGATCTACTACCTGTTCCCCATTCTATAATTTAATCTAATCCATCAAATCTAGTAATAGCCAAAAAATCTCCTTAATGAACTTCTTCTTCAGACCAATCTACTTAAACATTAGGTCTCTCTTTCCATCTATATCCTGTTGCTTTTTCAATAAATTCTATATTTGATCTTATCATCCAATTTGGTGGATAACTACCAAAAATTGAANATTTCTCCACATCTACTTTTGTCCATTCTTTTGAATGCTCTAATTTGATAAAACAATTTACCAGCATAAGGTTCAAATTATGATAATTAAGAAAGTAATTTTCTGACAGTTTCTGTTCTTCTTTCACATTCACAAATTTCAATAATAAGTTCTGTTAACATTTATTAATAAAATAATAATACTTAATATTAATATATATTATTATTATTATCAACAGTCACTTGGTCTGTAATAATCAGGAGCTTAACTTGGACATCTTTCATTCATATGTTCATATGGATCAATTGTATTGTATCCATCTAATTCCATTCTATGAGTTCCCATTATTTAACAATATGGTAAATCTGGATCATTAATCTTACATTTATCAGGAACAACATAATTTTTATCAAAGAAGTTTAATTAATAAACATCTTTTGGAGTAAATCTATAAAATATATAAAATATAATTACTCTGTTGCTTCAACATGATATTATCCAAATAAACCAGCTGCCTTATATAATCCAATAACAAATGAAGAACATACTTAACTTGGTCCATCACTGTAAATCCATTCATCCTTTTCAACCATAGCATATAAATCAGCCTTAATTTAAATATATTAGTAATACAATTTCTATTCCTCTTTTAGCAGCTTCAATTGTAATTTCTGGGATTGTCAATCCTTCAGTTCCTAATCTCTTATTTAATCCTTCTCCAATCATTTTTGATGAAATACTTGGTGCAAATTTTTCAATGAATGAAAATATATAAGTAGCTAATTCAGCACTTAATAAAGTTGGATAATTATCTTTAGGTGTATCTATCCATCCAAATATAAAATTATGATAACCATATGGTTATCCTTCCATAAAATTCCAAAATTTAAGAGCACCTTCTTAATCCCATTAAGCTCTCTTCTCTGGACTTAATGGTAATATTGCTACATTAAATCCTGCATTTTTAGCATAAACTTTCCAATCTTCCCATCTATTCTTTTAAATATTCTTTTTAGGCCAATACCATGCATCTTATGATTCTACTACCCATTTAACACCATCTATTTCAAAAATGACTGCACTATGTCCTGATCTACTACCTGTTCCCCATTCTATAATTTAATCTAATCCATCAAATCTAGTAATAGCCAAAAAATCTCCTTAATGAACCTCTTCTTCAGACCAATCTACTTAAACATTAGGTCTCTCTTTCCATCTATATCCTGTTGCTTTTTCAATAAATTCTATATTTGATCTTATCATCCAATTTGGTGGATAACTACCAAAAATTGAACCTAAATAAGGATTTGCAGAAAACCCACCAAAAAATAATTCAACTGTAGTTAACAAATCTCCAATCCAATAATCAAAATGATCACATGTTCTAAAGATATAAGCACCAGCCAATCTAAATGCTTACTTTTATTATTCATTTCTGAAATGGAAATAAACCTTATAATCCTATTCTATATTAATTTTATATAATATAATACCTTTCTTAATTTTTACAATATTATAATTCAAAGTTGTTCCAATCATGTAAAATTCTGAACATTGTTTTCCATTTTTATATTTTCCTGGCATGAAGGTCACTTATACTTTGCTTTCTGCATCATTGTATTCATAACTCACTCTCATCTAAGTGAAACAATCATCCTCAAATGATTTAAGTTTTATATTCTTAATATCATTGTTTATTTTTCCAACGTTTTGGAATGACATACCGAAAAATTCATGACTGTCACTCTTTTTACAAGTTAAAAGTTGTGTTTGATCTTAATTAAATCAAAATTTACTTAAACTCAACAAATTGTTCATCAATTATTCATATTTTTCTTTTGGGTCCTCATCCTCATAATAATGAATATTATATATTGTTTCATTCTCTCCTTCCTCTACAACCTAAGTACCCTGCAATCTATCAATTACTGTTCTTTATTGGCAGAGGCTTACACCAAGAATCAAACCAATTATAAAGATTTTATTCATATTATTATTACGTCATTCACTTCACTGTTAATCTCTATAGATTTAATTATTTCTCATAACTCAACAATAATTATATATTATAAAATAAATTATGGCTTAATAAGAAATTTAAAGAAAAGCTAAAGCATACTTAGATAAACATTAAATTGAGGAAATATTGGGAGATTTGGTAACTACTCTATCCTATCACCAAATGAAAAATCCCATTATATATATTGTACTACATTGAATTTATTATATTTTAGATTAAATATTTGTGCACTGTTCACTGTACACCAAAAGAATTATAAGAGGCAGGTATACAAATAGATAACAGAGAAAAAGTAGAATAACCAATTCTTTGCTTACCATTTCCAAATTTATCCTAACATTAAGGTTCGATCAAAAAATTGACAAAAGAATAATTTTATGCTTGCAAAAACAAAATCACTGATTAAGGAAATAATTTTAGATCTATTTGCAAACTCATACAAGATAATCCTAAATCTAAACCTGGTCTTTTTGCTGTCGATCCAAGTTCATATCTAATTTATAGTGATCTTTTTGATCCCATAGTTAAAGAAAAAGGTTATTTAGGCACACCTATTAAAGACATGTCCTATACACTTACATCCTCCATTTTAGAAGATGTAAAACCATTTTTAGAAGAATCTATTTTTGTTCTCAGAAGAAATGTTCCAAAATAGAGATTTGGTTCTACTTTATAAAATAGACAAGCTCTGACCAAAGAATTACTCTAAGTTCTGTCAAAATAATCAATTATTAACTATTCCTTACATAATGATTTATCAGCCATGGCACAAGAAGATGTTAGAAAATTATAAATTAATGATAAATTATTTAAGAAAAAAGATCCAAATCAAGCAATCATCAATCAAATATTTAAAGGTTTGCGTCATCCAGATTGGCCTTCTGATAGGATGGTACTTTAATCATGTGATAAATAAAATATAGTATGGATTAACAGAGAAGATCATCTTAAATTCAAATTTCTCAATTCAGAAAAATCATCTATTATTGATGCTTTGGATACATGTTGCAAAATGAACTAATACTTAGATTCAAAAGATTTAGTCAGTTTTGATGATAAATTTGGATATCATACTGTTAAACCATAATTTAGTGGTCTAGGTCTCACCTTTACATTAAAATTTAAGTTAGATCCATAATCAATTAATAAAATTAAATCAAATAATAATAATTTAAGTTCTAAAATACAAAACAAAGTGTTCAATGTTTAAACTAAAGAAAAAGATAAGTACTTTACAATAAAATCAGAAAGATGTACAGGATTAACAATGAAATAATATATAGAATAGTTATGTTAAATTCTCTCCATATTATTTGAAGGAGTTATAAAAAAGCCAGAAACTTAAACTATTGAAAAGTAATTTAAGAATGAATTACAAATTTAATAGTAATAATAACAATAATAATAATAATAATAATAATAATAATAATAATAATAATAATAATAATAATAATAATAATAATAATAATAATAATAATAATAATAATAATAATAACAATAATAATAATAATAATAACAATAATAATAACAATCAATGGCAAAATTATAAGAAGAAAATAATACTATGTCTCCTTCAAAACCTGCTTCATCACCCTCACATGTAGCAATTGATATTATATAAAATCAACCTGAAGAATAGGAATATACAACTTTACACAAAAAAAGATTAGAAACATTTTCAAAGAAATAAAAAGATATAAATAAAACTAGGTGGAACAAAATATGTGAATTGAAAGAATTGATAGGATTGTTAAAGGATGATACTTTTTATTTTTAAAATATAAATAAAAAATTCATAATTGTTAGAAGAAATTTAAAAATTAGACGAAAAAATGTTGAAGAGATTATTGGATTAAAGAACTAATAAGTATCAGATTAAATTTTAAAGGAATGTAATCTAAATGGTAATTGTGATAAGGGCATATTTCAGTACAAATATAAGGGTTATGAATATTATGTGGCAATTGAGCTTGATGACGATTTAACCTTTATATTCCCTATTATCAAGATTTCGATCTCCTAATAATTATAAAAAATACAAAGAATAGTAGATTAATTCTTACCTAAAGACTAACAATATGCTTGGGATAATTAATATGGATATTTAACTAATAATAATAATTATTTAGGCAGTGGAATCAGCATTACTTGTGATTTTCCATAATTTATTCAAAATGAAATTCCTGGAATTTTGAAAGAATTGATTTAAGATGATTCTATATAAAACTAGAATAATTAATTTTTAACTCTTACTTCTTTAGATGAATACAATCTTTAAATTTATAGAAATGCTGTAAATGAGATATTGCTCAAGTAAAAATAGCATAATTAGTTAATAAAAAAAGCTGCAGATAATTAAATATGTGAGAGTGATTGTTATATAAATGATCAATTATGGGCACCTTCAAAGAAATGTTTTGAAGACTTCGAAGCATTGTATACATAATATATTTGGAATTAAGGTAAAAATTGATTTATAACAAAGCTATAGCATATTTTAATGGAAAACATGTTACTCCTTTCAAAAATTATGATAAAATCAAACCTGATTCTTATAAACTTAATATACCTTAAAATCCTACCATAATAAATATCAAATGCACATTTTACAGAAACTTTGAATCATAAAAATACAAACATGAAATGTCCATATAAGATAAAATAAAAATGAAAGTAAGAATATTTTATTAAATTTTAAGACTAAATACAATGAATTTATGAAAAATAATGGGTGGAAATTTGGAAAAACTCATCATTTGGAAGTTAGTTTTGACAGTAAACCTGAAGAATTTATTTAGAATTTCTGTAATCATTGGAATTCACTTATTGAGTAAGGTTAGGAATTTTAAAAAAATGGCAATATAGGATTTTATGGACCAAATTTAAATTAAAGTTTATTAGAAGGATTCCAATTAGAAATAAAAACAAATAAACCGATTAATCTAGAATTAATTAAGAGTTTTAATTATAAACCTTATTATCAAAAAAATGGAATGATAAATTAAGAAGATGCAATCATAACAATTATAAGTAATAGACCTTGCGTTCTAGAATTCGAATTAAATTTGATTTAAGAATTATTGTGAATATTATTTCAAACAATTAAAACAAAACAATAATTTACTTTTGCTTTCATTTTTAATATTACTGAAGTGTTTCGTTCTCAATTTCTATAATATTCATTTAAAATAGAGCTCTTCTACTGAAACTAAGATCTTAATTATATTTATGTTATTTTAAGGTATTCTAATTTTGAGATTATTCATTTCACTAAAATACATTTTTAAAGAAATTTTAATAAGCTTTTAATTTCTGTGTCGTCCATTAAAAATTGGATTAACTAATTATCTCTTTCTCACTTTTTAAATATTTTGCAAGTTAACATATCATTAAATATTAGTAGTAATTAATTCATTATTAAAAGTTCTAAAGCATAATTTTTAGTGTAGATAAAATTAAGTTTATTGCATTGTCTACAATATAATGAAAAATTAAGGTTTAGTCTTGATATAATAATAATTTAGACAGCATGGCTATGCAATTATTGATGGCAATATTAAATAGCTCTAAATATTAATGGACGATAAGTCAGTGATCATTAAAATATTAAGAACTTATACTGAATATTTGAACTTTTATAGGGTATAAATAGATTAAGTAAAGTTTAAATTTTAATTATATATTTGTAAAAGTCATATAAATATCAAAATTTGATTGTTCATTATACTATTAAGAATTTAATATTATAAATATATATAAAAACGGATGATTGATCGTCTGATTATATGTTTGGCAATATTGTTAATGGTTGGAAATAATTATGCTTTTGATATTCCTCAAGCACTAGAGATTCCAATCGAAAAAGAGTTTAAATTAACATAAACATAATTCAATTTGTTATACAGCATATTTGCAGTTCCAAACATAGGATTATCTATAGGAGGAGGTATTATGATAGATAGGATGGGAGGAAGATGGGGAGTACATTTTATACAATAAATAGGTATTTACCTTTTCATTAATGCTTGGACTGTCATAATTATTTATAGCATTTGGTGGATGCTATTAAAAATATTATATGATGTTAGTAGGGAGAGCTATATTTGGAATAGCAAGTGACTTATTACACATAGCAGTATTTAAAGTGATTGCAAGAAGAATGCCACATTGTTTAGGAACAGCAATGGGATTGATATTAACAGTTCCAGAATTGGCTGCAGCATTGAATTCTTTTTTATCCCCATATCTATTTGAGAAAACTCATTCTTTAGAGTTACCTTTACTTTTTGGATTATCATTGTGTATATTGGTATATTGAATAATCCTAACATTAAAGTCATTCTTATCTGGATTACTAATGATATATTTAGACACAAAATATGATGCTTGTTAAGTAGAAGAACCAGATGAAGAAGTTTCATTATCTAAATGTAAGTGATCAATCTAAAATAGTTAAGCTTACTAAACCATTTGTTAGAATGAGTCTAATCACAACATTGATGTTAGCAGCTTATGTTCCATTTTTAGATAATGCTAATAAATTTTATCATGAGAGATTTGGATTTAGTATTATGCATGCTGGTAGAATAGTTACTGTTGGATATATTGTAGCAGGTAATAAAATAATTATAATAATTTTAGCAATATCATCTCCAATAATTGGAAAAATAAGTGACTCTTTTACTCACAAACGCCAAGCTCTAATTTTCATATCGACTTTAATGTTCTTTCTATCACATTTACAACTCTATTATATGCCTCATTCTACACATCCAAATTATATGTCAGTTTTCGCGTAATTTATATTTTCTATCTATGTGAAGTTTAATAACTTTGGGATTGTCTTATGCATGCTATTCAAGTATTCTGATGCCTACATTGTAATCAACTGTACCTGAAAATATGCTAGGTATTTTACTTATATTATTAAGAGCTACTGCATTGGGAATATTGGGAATAATAGAAAATATATGTATGGCTGCAGTTCCAATGTTATCAGGGTTTGTTTACACTTTTTTAAAGGGAGAAAAAGATAGAATGAAAGATGTTGATATTATTTATTTAGTATTAGCAGGAATAGGTGTTTGTTTATCTATAGGAGCATTGCCAAATTAAGATAAACATTTTAAGAATTAAAAGGATGCAATTAAACAGTTATATCAAAAACATGAAGAAAATAACAATTTAATTTGAATTTACAAAAATAAATACATTTCATTTTCTAATATAATTCTATTCTAGATGTTCTAAATTAATATTCAAATCTTCATCTAACATATGATTTTTATATCCAAACTTGTTTATATAATTCTATTAATAATATTTTGAAAATTAATTAAGTAAAAGAATTTTACTAGTAATATATAATCTGTATTTTCATTTATAATTTAATTATAGTAATAGATTTACAATAATATGATTTCTTCAAATAGAATTAGAAATAATTAATGATATATGATATAAGTTCAAAAATGATATCTTTTAATACAAATATTTAGTTCATAAAAGTCCTGAAACTTAGAAATTGATCAATTCTATTTGTTGTTTTAATTTGGAAATGTCCTCTTAAAAGAACCTTATTTTATTGAGATAATTTGATACTTAGTTTATACACAAAAATATTATTCCAATGAATTAATATTAAATTATTGAGTGGATTTGATTTATTGTAAATTAGATTTGAAAATTTATGAATTTTCAATGACTTATTATTTGATTTCCTGTTATTCTCTTTTTAAATGGGATAGTTTTTGTTTAATCTTATAGATATTGATAAAAATTGGTTTACTTATTTGAGAATAGTCTTAAATTTAATTTCTCTAAGAGTTGGTTTATTATTAATATTCTTTTGTTTTGGAGGTGCTAAAGATTGACCATAAACAAAAAAAGAAATGGGAGTTTAAAGGGAAGGCTGGCATTATTAATGTCTTCTAATTATAGCTGCTGATTCATTTCTAATAATAAAAAATTGTCTATGGGAGGAGTTTTTATTTGTTTAAGTTTTCATTAATAATTAAATAATATGCATGTCTCATTAAAAGACATAATGCCACCTCAGAATTCGTAACATAATCCATTGTCAAAGATCAAGTTTAAGATTAGTAAGAAGGTGGAATCTCTTTGTCAATGCAATTAAAAAAGTTGCTTAATCTGTGCTCGAAAAAGATCATCATCAATGTTGAGTATCAAAAATTCTTTAGTTGTTGATGAAAGTTCACCTGTTTCTAAAAGAACAATTGATCAGAAGGCAATTTTAGTATAATAAGCTGTCGTCTCAAAATAAATATCAAGACAATAATCAAATCATGTTATTCATCACAGTTATTATAGTGGAAAATAAATCAATAATACTACTTCAACTACAATGGTTAATAATTCTCGGACCAGAAAGACATCTCTTGAATCATCCCCTCCTAAAGAAAATGGTAAACTTATTAGAATTTAAAATAGTAATCGGAAGACATTCTTTCAAATTTTTATATGTAATTGGAAAAGGTGGGTTTGGAAAAGTTTGGAGAGTAGAAATGAAAGCCAACCGTTAAGAATATGCACTTAAAGAAATGCTAAAATCTAAGTATCCTTCTTATTTTAATGATTATTAGAATCATCTCAAAAAGGTCTGTTAATTCTGTGATGAATGAAAAGTATTTACTCGAACATCTCAAACATCCTTTTCTAGTCAATATGCATTATGCATATTAAGATAGAGAAAACTTATATCTAGTATTGGATTTATTAAGAGGAGGAGATCTAAGATATCATATTGGTAGAAATACTAGATTCTCTGAAGAATAAACAAGTATTCATTATTTTTATTAAAAGAGTTTTTTGTATGTTGTATTTTATTGGCTCTCTAATATTTACATTAAAATGGTATAATACATAGAGATGTAAAGCCTGAAAATCTTGTTTTTGATAAAGATGGATTCTTAAGATTAACTGATTTAGGAGTTGCTAGATTAAATAAGGATTCTTCTGCTACTGATACCTCAGGAACTCCAGGATATATGGCTCCTGAAGTTATGTGTAGACTTGATCATTCCTTTCCTGTTGATTATTATGCACTCGGAGTAATTGCCTATGAGTTATTGCTTGGCAAAAGACCATATAATGGCAAAAATAGATAAGAAATTAGAGATTAAATTTTAGCTAAATAAGTTTAAATTAAAGATGAAAGATTTTCTCATAAAGCATAAGACTTTATAAATAGAGTAACCTTTTTTTTATAATTATATAGTTACTGATTAGAAAGCCCTAATAAAGATTAGGCCATAATGGAATTGAAGAAATATTTGAACACTAGTGGCTGAAAGGATATCCTTGGGGCAAGTTGATCAACAAAGAAATCAAATCATAATACATTCCTGGAGTATAATTTTTGTGTTATTTCTCAGAGTATAGATGGAAATTTCGATTTTCAAAGTTAGATCTCTGCTGATAGTGAACCATAAGAAGATGCAGCTTCTCTTATCAGAAGAAAAAGTGTTTAATGCTTATTTGAGGGATACAAATTTCAATGAATTATCTTTTATATTGTAATCAATCCTTATTCCCCTCTCTTTCCAATAGGTATCATTAAACATTGTTATAAGTTTTGTTATTTATTTATACAGACTGTGGCTGATGTATTATTATTTGATTTATTTTATCTCTCTTTTTGTAATCATATAATGATGATTAGATAGTTATTTAAGAAATGTAAATCTGTAATTTTATTAAACATTTTCTATAGAGGCATTCTAATTTTATATTTTAATTTAAAACAATATTTTTACTAAATGATTTATTATTCATTAATTTTAAATAAAGTGAGTAATATAATATCAATCTTAATAAATTATATTTTAATTCATTTATGAATATTTTCAAAGATGATAAAGAAAAACGAAATAATTTTAAAAATAATTATAGTTATATTTTTCTTTATAAATAATATCTCAATTAGTTATGGTATTATCCAAACAGATTTTTCAAAAATTTCACTAATCCAAAGTATATAATTGTAACTATTAGACTTATTAAAAAAAATTATTTACTATAAAATTTGTATCTTTTATTTATTTCAGTTTTAAATTCTAGATAAATTAATAATGATTGATTGATTTTCAAAAGAATATATAGAAAAGTAGAAAATTATATAAAATAATAAGAGATAATGATCCTTATCATTATTAAACAAAATTTAAAAAGAAGCTTTAAGATACTTTTCTATTTTAATGTATAAATTATTATCCAGATTTCAAATAATCTAAATAAGTTAAATAAATTTTTTAGAAAATAAATAAAAGGCTAATCAATTAAGGCTAATCTGAAGTCAATGTCCTAAAAACTTTATAGATATTGAAATTAAAGCATATCAATTTATCATTTATTATTTTGCCTTCTTTATAATAGTATAAGATTTATAATTATTCAAATTTAATCTTAAAATATCAATTTTTTAGATTTAAATATAAAAATCAAATATAGTAATGATTACTTATTAATAGAAAAATGGTTATCCTTTTGATTATAAAGAGTTTTAAAATAAAACAAATTTTTTGCTGATTTAGAATTAATTTTAAATGGAGATAATTTAAGTATTTTCTATAATATAATTTAGATTCATTGAATTGAGTTTAACAATATATATATAATTGAATGAAATATTTAAATAATTTTATAAGTATTTAAAAGTTTCTTAATCTGAGGAATTCAATTTATATTCCATAAAGTGAAAATGTATGATAAATGTTCATTTTATTGTGTATTTTATTTTTGTTTCTTGATAAAGTTGTCATTTTTTGAAATCTCCTAATTTTTTCTACGTCATTTGATATAAATTTAGGTTCGTGTAGCATTCCTAATTTTTCATAAATATTTTGTATTTAAGAATGGATACTTAAGAGCAAATAAATCCTAATTATGATGTTGTAGTGTGCGGAACTGGTTTAATCGAGTGCATTCTAAGTGGATTACTAAGTATGGAAGGCAAGAGAGTATTTCATATGGATCGTAACCCTTATTATGGAGGAGAGGGTGCATCTCTAAATCTAACCAACCTTTGGAAATTGTTTAAAGCTGGATAACAATTCCCATAATAATTAGGTATTTATTAGATGCTAATTTGAAAAGGTTAGAATAGAGATTGGAATATCGATTTGATTCCAAAGTTTGTGATGGCTAATGGATAGCTTGTTAAAATATTACTTAAGACCAAAGTGGCTCGTTATTTAGAATGGAAAGCTATTGATGGCACATATGTATTCCAAATGAAAGAGGCAGGTTTGTTTAGCAAGGGAGGTGGCAAAATTGAGAAAGTAAATATCATATAATAATATCAATAGGTTCCAGCAACAGCTTCAGAAGCTCTTAAATCTGATTTAATGGGTATGTTTGAAAAGAGAAGATGTTAAAAATTCTTGGCCTATGTGTCTAATTATGAAGCAAGCAACCCAAAGACTCATGATGGTAAAATGTGATTAATATTATAGGATTGAATCTCAATCAAATGTCATGTGCTCAATTACTTAAGAAATTTGAATTAGAGCCAAATACAATTGATTTCATTGGTCATGCTGTTGCATTATACTCAAATGATCTATTCTTAGATAAGCCAGCAATTTAAACAATTGAAAAGATCAAATTGTATATGGATAGTATTGGAAGATATGGAGATAGTCCATTCATATATCCAATTTATGGATTGGGTGGTATTCCAGAAGGATTTTCTAGAATGGCTGCTGTAAATGGTGGTACATTTATGTTAAATGCTGATTTGGATGAAGTATTATTTGATGGGGATGGAAAAGTATAAAAAATATTTAATTTTAGGTATGCGGATTAAAATCAGAGAAAGTTAAGGAATTAATGGGAATAGAATAAATTAATTGTAAAATGATTATTGCTGATCCATCATATGCATTAAAAGCAAAATTATCAAATAAAGTTAAATCTATTGGAAAGATAGTTAGATGCATTTGTATTCTTAATCATCCAATTCCAAATACAAAGAATTTACCATCTGTTTAAGTTATTATTCCTTAAAGATAAACAGGCAGAAAGAATGGTAGATATATTATATTAATTAGATTAGATATTTATGTTATGATGGTTAGTGATGTTCATAATGTTTGTAAGAAAGGATTCTTTATTGCTATATTAAGTACTAATGTTGAAACCAACAATCCAGAAAAAGAATTAGAACCAGCATTTGAAATTGTTGGACCAGTCTTAGAAAAGTTTATTACTGTAATATAAATAATAAATATTATAGGTTTCTGATGTTTATGTTCCAACAGATGATGGATCTAAAGATAATATCTTCATTTCAAGTTCATTTGATCCATAATCCCATTTTGAAGGTGAAACTTAATAAGTGTTGAATGCCTACAAAAAAATTACAGGAAAAGATTTAGATTTAACCAATTTACCATTAGATTAGGATGATTAATGATATATAAATAAAAAGTAAAGCAGATATATGTCTATATATTTAATGATGAAATTCTAAATAATAAGAATATCAACAAAGACTTAGCTTATTTATATATAAACATTCAAATGCTACCATATTTGCTTTCTTAATTATCAACTAATCTTCCTATTTTGAATTCAGATTCAATATCTTCATCCTTTCCAGTAGCTTTATAATTGAATTTCTATCGTTATTGAAAAGTTCTCAAAATATCTCTTAAACTCATTTTATGTACTTCGAATGTATAAAGCATAAACCCTGCAACTCCAAAACAAATCAAATAAAATAAAATTGATAAAATTGAACTAATAATTTTAAAAGAACTATTACAATGAATTTTATGTAGAAACTACACATTGCTTTTAAAACACCATAGTAATATCTTAGAAATACTATAAANCCCAAAGACTCATGATGGTAAAATGTGATTAATATTATAGGATTGAATCTCAATCAAATGTCATGTGCTCAATTACTTAAGAAATTTGAATTAGAGCCAAATACAATTGATTTCATTGGTCATGCTGTTGCATTATACTCAAATGATCTATTCTTAGATAAGCCAGCAATTTAAACAATTGAAAAGATCAAATTGTATATGGATAGTATTGGAAGATATGGAGATAGTCCATTCATATATCCAATTTATGGATTGGGTGGTATTCCAGAAGGATTTTCTAGAATGGCTGCTGTAAATGGTGGTACATTTATGTTAAATGCTGATTTGGATGAAGTATTATTTGATGGGGATGGAAAAGTATAAAAAATATTTAATTTTAGGTATGCGGATTAAAATCAGAGAAAGTTAAGGAATTAATGGGAATAGAATAAATTAATTGTAAAATGATTATTGCTGATCCATCATATGCATTAAAAGCAAAATTATCAAATAAAGTTAAATCTATTGGAAAGATAGTTAGATGCATTTGTATTCTTAATCATCCAATTCCAAATACAAAGAATTTACCATCTGTTTAAGTTATTATTCCTTAAAGATAAACAGGCAGAAAGAATGGTAGATATATTATATTAATTAGATTAGATATTTATGTTATGATGGTTAGTGATGTTCATAATGTTTGTAAGAAAGGATTCTTTATTGCTATATTAAGTACTAATGTTGAAACCAACAATCCAGAAAAAGAATTAGAACCAGCATTTGAAATTGTTGGACCAGTCTTAGAAAAGTTTATTACTGTAATATAAATAATAAATATTATAGGTTTCTGATGTTTATGTTCCAACAGATGATGGATCTAAAGATAATATCTTCATTTCAAGTTCATTTGATCCATAATCCCATTTTGAAGGTGAAACTTAATAAGTGTTGAATGCCTACAAAAAAATTACAGGAAAAGATTTAGATTTAACCAATTTACCATTAGATTAGGATGATTAATGATATATAAATAAAAAGTAAAGCAGATATATGTCTATATATTTAATGATGAAATTCTAAATAATAAGAATATCAACAAAGACTTAGCTTATTTATATATAAACATTCAAATGCTACCATATTTGCTTTCTTAATTATCAACTAATCTTCCTATTTTGAATTCAGATTCAATATCTTCATCCTTTCCAGTAGCTTTATAATTGAATTTCTATCGTTATTGAAAAGTTCTCAAAATATCTCTTAAACTCATTTTATGTACTTCGAATGTATAAAGCATAAACCCTGCAACTCCAAAACAAATCAANAGAAGCTCTTAAATCTGATTTAATGGGTATGTTTGAAAAAAGAAGATGCTAGAAATTCTTGGCCTATGTATCCAATTATGAAGCAAGTAATCCAAAGACTCATGATGGTAAAATGTGATTAATATTATAGGATTGAATCTCAATCAAATGTCATGTGCTTAATTACTTAAGAAATTTGAATTAGAGCCAAATACAATTGATTTCATTGGTCATGCTGTTGCATTATACTCAAATGATCTATTCTTAGATAAGCCAGCAATTTAAACAATTGAAAAGATCAAATTGTATATGGATAGTATTGGAAGATATGGAGATAGTCCATTCATATATCCAATTTATGGATTGGGTGGTATTCCAGAAGGATTTTCTAGAATGGCTGCTGTAAATGGTGGTACATTTATGTTAAATGCTGATTTGGATGAAGTATTATTTGATGGGGATGGAAAAGTATAAAAAATATTTAATTTTAGGTATGCGGATTAAAATCAGAGAAAGTTAAGGAATTAATGGGAATAGAATAAATTAATTGTAAAATGATTATTGCTGATCCATCATATGCATTAAAAGCAAAATTATCAAATAAAGTTAAATCTATTGGAAAGATAGTTAGATGCATTTGTATTCTTAATCATCCAATTCCAAATACAAAGAATTTACCATCTGTTTAAGTTATTATTCCTTAAAGATAAACAGGCAGAAAGAATGGTAGATATATTATTTTAATTAGATTAGATATTTATGTTATGATGGTTAGTGATGTTCATAATGTTTGTAAGAAAGGATTCTTTATTGCTATATTAAGTACTAATGTTGAAACCAACAATCCAGAAAAAGAATTAGAGCCAGCATTTGAAATTGTTGGACCAGTCTTAGAGAAGTTTATTACTGTAATATAAATAATAAATATTATAGGTTTCTGATGTTTATGTTCCAACAGATGATGGATCTAAAGATAATATCTTCATTTCAAGTTCATTTGATCCATAATCCCATTTTGAAGGTGAAACTTAATAAGTGTTGAATGCCTACAAAAAAATTACAGGAAAAGATTTAGATTTAACCAATTTACCATTAGATTAGGATGATTAATGATATATAAATAAAAGTAAAGCAAATATATATATTTATTAAATGATGGAATTTCTAAATAATTAAAACATCTACAAAAACTTAGCTTATTTATATATAAACATTCAAATGCTACCATACTTGCTTTCTTAATTATCAACTAATCTTCCTATTTTAAATTCAGATTCAACATCTTCATCTTTTTCAGTTGCCTTATAATTAAATTTCTATCTCTATGTAAACATTCTTCTGATATCATTAAAACTAATAGTATGCACTTCAAATGTAAATAGCATAAACCCTACAACTCCAAAACAAATCAAATAAAATAAAATTGATAAAATTGAACTAAGCATTTAAAAACAAATAATTACAATGAACTTTATGGTGTAACTACACATTGTTTCTAAAATACCATAGTAATATCTTAGAAATATTATAAAGGAATATTTAATTCTATAGTTGTATTTCCATTTTCAACACAATTATACTCTACAATTAAAGTTGAAGGTTCATCTGTAACTATTCCTCCTTTAAATAAATCTCCTCTAATTATAGGTTTTGTTATTGTATGATCTGCATCAACATATGGTGGAGAGATATGCACTTCTGGAATTAATTTTAGTATTGCTTCCAAAACTTGAAACTCTTCTTATGTTGTTTCAGTGTCTGATTTTGATTAATCAACTGCATTAAAGAAATCTTTTGTCTCTTCTTTATTCAAAACACTTTCTTCATCAGTGTTTTTAGTTAAATTCATATAAACATAAAAGATGGAGTAATTCATATTTCCTGGGACAGTAAATACAAAATTATCAAAATCTTTGTCCCAATAAGCTTTATTTACTAATTCTCCATCTTTCACAACTGTTTAATTATATGATTTAATAAGTGCATCCACATTTAAACCATGTCGTTTTATTAATGGACTTCCACATAATTTTTACCAATAAATCTTTGCAGACCCACATTATGGTATATTAAAAAATACTTCATATTGAATTAGTCTACCACCATATTATTTACATCTGTAATCAATTTTTAATGAATAGACATTGCTTTAATGATTTTCTATTTTAAGTGTACTATTTGCAAAATAATGATCATCAAATTCTAATTGTACCATATCTTATGTTAATTAGATCTTATTATCCATAGAAACATATAAATAGTCCATTTGAACTGAATTATTCACCAATTGAAATGTGTCTATTTATATGATAGAATTATTATACCTGCTTCCAATACCCATTATTTAGCAGGAACACCAGCTTTAATTATATCATCTCTGCTTTTATCAATGTCAGTTGAAACATGTAAATATTTGCATGTTGACTCAAAACATTTGACGAAAGAGATTAGAAACACGTATATTAATAAATTCATGATGTTTTATTATTTTAAATCAAATTCTTCTTTACCCAACTAATTTATTTATAGTAAAAGCATCATTTTCTTTAAGAATGGCTTCAACTTGCATGAAAGATTCATTGGACTCACCTAAATTATAATATATATTAATATTTACTATCATCATATTGCAAACAGAAACAAACTCTTGATGGATTAATACCTAATTCTGGAACATGACCAGAAGCTAGTTAAGCCAAATACTCTGAAATAGCACATAAAATATCTGCAGCATTCTCTTTAGTTACATCAATTGTTGCTTCACATCTTAAAATTCATAAATAAATATATAATACTCTTTAACAACTGGAACCTAAGGTTCAGAAGGAGGAGCTGGTCCTGGGGCTGGTTTAGGTGCAGGTGCTGGTTCTGGTTCAGGCTAAGGTTAAGGTTCTGGTTCTGGAAGTGGTTCTGGTTGTACTTCATCAGGAATTACAGGTGGAGTTACAGGTGGTGGTGGAGGAACAAATTCTTCTTCTTCTTCAGGCCAAATAGATTCTTCTTCAGGAATCAAAGTTGGAGGAGGAGGAATAAATTCTTCCTCTTCTTCTGGCCAAACTGATTCTTCTTCAGATGGAATGTCTTCTGGTTAAATTGGAACAAATTCTTCTTCTTCTTCTTGCCAAAATGGTTCTTCTTCTTCAGAGAATACTTCTGGTTCTGGTAATGGTTCATCACCTGTAGGTTTAGGAGTGTATCCAAAAATGATATCCTTTGGTGGAGTTACAACATCAATAGCAACATCACCAATACAAGAATTTACACGCCAATTAAAGAATTTACCATTGAAGGCAGGATATAAACCATCATTACCAATATAGAGTCTTCTTTAAGGAACAAGATAATGGCGGACATCATGAATTTAATTGGAAGGCATTTCTGACTCTGATAAATAAATAGCATAATTAGCATATCTGGTTCTTCTGCTGTAACCAAAGTAAATATAATGCCATTGACCCAATGTTGAACCATATTCAACTGAATCCCATAAATTAGGATTACCAGATCCTGAATATGTATAAGTAGTAACTTAATATCGATTGCCAACTAATTCATTACCAAGATAAAGAGCCAAGTCTCTATCTCCTAATTAAATATCATCCAAATTAGCATTTGTATTTTCTGATAATCTAAAGACAGTGTGCCAAACATCTTAATCTGATAAGGATTCCCATTTAAACCAACCAGAAACTGAATAACCTGAATCCCAAGTTGAAAAGTCATATCTTTCTTCAGAACTGTCATCAAATCCTGAAAATTCAAAATCTCCTAATTCATGTGTATCCAATTCACAAACTTCTTCAGGAGGATTATTGCATGAATCAACAATTTATTTATATGTTTTTTCATCTTGGAAATGTAGATTTGGTGCTGAGACTGCAAAATGTCCATATACTTATCCTTAGAATGATGGATGAGAATCTTATTCACCACCAATAATGAATTCTAAAGTACTGAAACTTGGATGAGAAGCAGGAGTTTATCTCAATGCTGGTTATTCTTCAAAGAATTTTACTCCACATCCAGTGACTCCTTTACCGTGACTAATAAAGACAAAGCTCCAATCACCTTCAAAGTCATCATTTTAAACAGATGTAGATTATTAAGTTGATCCATCGGCTGTCACACATTTAACACCAGTTTTAGTTACAAATACTCCCAAAACTGTATTTCCATTATCTTATAAACTGGCTAAATGGAATTCTTCACCATCAGCAAAGGCTGGATATTTTTATAATTTTTAGAAGTATAATCCAAATCCATATTCATTTGTTATTGTAAGTGTGCTTGTATATCCAGGTTCAACTTAAGTGGCTGTTAATTCTATCTTCTCAGTAGATTCAGATGAATGGCAAACTATTGGAGATTCTACATCAACAGGTGGAAGTGTTTCTTCAAAAATAAATTATTCTTCTTGCTCTTCTGGAAATACTAAAGGATCAGGAGAAACTGGGGGGAGTGGTGTTTCTTCAAAAAAGAATTCTTCTTCATCTTCTTCTGAGAATACTTAAGGATCAGGAGAAACAGGTGGAAGTGTTTCTTCAAAAATAAATTATTCTTCTTGCTCTTCTGGGAATACTAAAGGATCAGGAGAAACTGGTGGGAGTGAAGTTTCTTCAAAAAAGAATTCCTCTTATTCTTCTGGGAATACTAAAGGATCAGGAGAAACTGGTGGGAGTGGAGTTTCTTCAAAAATGAATTATTCTTCATCCTCTTCTGGGAATTCTAAAGGATCAGGAGAGACTGGTGGAAGAGGTGTTTCTTCTTGATCTTCTTCTGGTGAATCAGGTGTAGTTGGTACTGATTTTGGTTCTTCTGGCTCTTCTCCTGGAATAGTCCACTCTTCTGTTCCATCTTCTGGAATTGTTGGTTCTTCAGGGGATTCTTCAGAACTTGGATTAACAGGTGGTTCATCAGTTGGACCTTCTTCTTCATCTTAAGGTACATCTGGTGTTGGTTTATCTTCTGGAGCAGGTTCATCTGGAGTAGGTTAATCTGGGGTTGGTTCTTCATCTGGAGTTGTTGGAGGAACACCTTCTTCAACTGGCTCTTCTGTAAATTCTTCACTTGCAACTTCTGAAGGAACTTCTGGTACAGGTTCATCTGGACATGTAGGTTGACATGCTTATTAACATCCAGATTGAATAATCTTGAGATCATCTATCTTACCTTTGACTTTAATGATTGTAACTGGTGATTATTAGCATTATTAGTGAACATTATTCATTTATTTAATAAGATAAGCACACAATTTTGTTAAAGTTTCTGTACACTCTTCTCTTTCATGTCTGTCTATAAGAATGAAAATATTTATTTACCATGAGATTGCAATCCTTATAATTTGCTTTATAACTCAGAAAGTACAGGAGGTGAAATGAGATCTAAATCTTTGATCTTTTCAACTAGTTGCTCATACTTTTTATGTTTAATTAGATGCTTCATTTGAGTTAGAGTCTCAATATGTGATGGAATGCGATCCTTGTTCTCCAAAACTTACTACCATTGAGTTAATGTTTCTTCCAAATCTTCAAAATGAGATCGTGGAGTTTAACAATTCAATTATGAGGTGTCTAAAGCGTCTACTTCTGCTAAGGTATGGGACATCAAAGATGCCTCGAAATTCAATGCTGTGGCATACATCAACAGCACAAAAAGGGCATATATTCTCATTTTTATTAAATATAATAGTTATGCCTTTAAAACGGATTTATTACATATATTAAATACTCAATTTATCATACTTAAATTTCAATAAATTACTAGAATCCCTTAATCTATCAAAGAATGGATAAATAATTATTAAATGTTAAATAAGTGGTAATGAAATATTCTTAGAGTCATAAGATATATGACTAACTTTTGTAATATAAAGTATTTCAAGTAAATTAGATACATTTTGTTCATTTCTTAAAATTAAATTACATGCCAATCAAGCTATATCAAAATATACAAAGCCATTAATTTACATTTAATTATAATGCTCTAAAATTGAATCAGTTTGATCAGATATTATGATAATTGAAATCAAATTTATAAGAATCATAGATTTAACTGTTCAAAAAAAGTCTTTATTTGATATTTTTCAATAAACAACAACAAAATTCTATTTAAATAGTCTTGATAGAAATATTTTATATTTAGTATTATCTTTATTCAATTATATAGTAGAGATGCAATTTAATAAATTATTAAATGTAAATTTAATATATAAGAAATTTAGAATACTAATAGTAGATAATTGCTCATTGATAATAATAATATATTCAAAAATAGTGTAATGTATTCTTATTAAAAGAGATTATGTAATTTTAGGAAATTAAGAGATAATTGAATTATTTTTTGATTAAATAATATTAAATTTATGAGTCGTGCATTATTTGTTAGTAAAAATTACTTAAGCAAAAAATTCAACGTAAAATAGCCTAATGAACTTTATAAGCAATTACTTTAAAATATTCATCTATTCTAGGCAGATGAATTAAAAAAAATTTCATCTGATGAATTAATACATTATATAATTTTTTTTGGAACACATCCTGAACGTAGAAATTAAGGAGAAAAAGCCAAAAAAATTACTTTAGAATGTCTTAAATAATATAAGAAGAAGATGACTAAAAATTCATATGAAATAAATTCATAAATACTATTATCACTTAGCAATGTTTTATTGTATGATGAATAGATGGTTCAAGAATTAGTTTAATAAGTAGATGATGACAAAGAAACTCTTTCAGTCAAAGATATGATTAAATTTTAGCATTGTCTCTACAAACTAAATATCCATAATGAGAAACTAAGTGATTATGTTCTTGAAAAATTTCTCAAATAAAAAGAATAAGTAGATTATTTAGAATATATTCATGATCTTCATATAAGATCAAATCTATATAGAATGGGTTAAGTGGATGAAAAAGTCATTCTAACTTTGTTGAAAGGATTTTAAACAAAATTAAATTCATCTTAAAATTTTTATTATACATCTAAATCATGCTTTTAATATTGTTAACTTATGTATAATTTATATCCAGAGATAATTGAGAAACAATTTTTTGAATTAAAACCTAGAGATGATAATATATTTGCGAATTAATTTAATGATTTGATGAAGGATTATATAATAAGCAAATAACTTGTAGATCGTAAAAAGTTTTATTAATCTTTTGAATATTATGTAAATTTTCATAATTTGAATATATTAAAAGCTAAAGAAGATGCTATAATGAGAAGTTTAACTGAACTTGAATAAAATGTATAAGATTTACTTAATAAATAAAATTATAAAAATTCAAGAGCTCATCGAATTTTGATTTATGATGTAGATTATTTAGTTAATGATAACATTATTTTAACATGTAATGATCCAGTTCATTTTGTTGAAGATTTCAATGGAAAGATTTTAACCATAAATCCAAATCATATAATGTAAAGCAGGTATTCATTTATTAACAAGTAGAGGCATTTGAGTGCTACCAATAAATACAAGGTTTTTGATATAAATTACCATGACTGGACACATTTGTCAGAATAACAAAAGATTGACAAATTAAAATCCTTAATAGATTGATATATGAATATTGTAAATCAAATATAATAAAATTTTTAACTATAATATTTTATAATAATAAATATTATGAATTTAAATGATAAATTTAGAATATATCTTAATATATTAAATATGCAATAAATTCATCTCTAAAATTAATTATTTAAGTTTATTTTGTTTTCCATCAAAATTTTAAAATCAAATAACATAGGCATGAATTTTTTATAATTAAAATGAGAATGAAAGTTTATTATTATAAAAAAATTTATTAATAAAATAAATTTATTAAAAATTTGAAAATGGCAGAACATGAACATGAATTTGAAGGTCATGAAGAAGAATTAGAAGCACCAAAAGATTCATTATGGAGAGATGAATATGAAATGGAGAAATCTGCAAATATAGTTTATCTTTTACGCTTGGAATTGCTTCAGGGTTGATACCAAGAGAAATCAATAAAAAAACAAAGTAAAGTAAAATATTACTGATTAGATTTCTGTATTCGCCATTGATATTATCATTAGGAATAATAATAGGGTTAATTTAAAAAAGTTTAGGTTATATAGGAGAAAGTGCAAGTATATTATCAAAAATGCATCCTCATCTGATTTTATTTGTTTTTGTTCCAGTATTGCTTTTTGAATCAGCATTTAATTCCGATTGGTATAATTTTAAATATTAAATGGTGAATATTCTATTATTAGCAGGTCCAGGATGTGGTTGGGTAATTATTTTTTAATCTAAATTTAGGGTGCAATTCTATTGGGAGGAGTATTTAAATTTGTTTTATAATCTGATGATAATGATATGACATGGTATTAAGCATTTACACTTGGTTCAATATTATCAGCAACAGATCCAGTTGCTGTGGTACTTAAAGAATTGGGTGCAAGTTTAGCATTTAACCATTTATTTGAAGGGTATTAAATTACTATATTTAAGAGAAGCCTTACTCAATGATGATGTTGCGATGGTGTTTTTTATATTTTTTAATAAATTTTCAAAGGCTCAAAGCGGAAAGGGAGAAGCTTTTACTTCAAGTTAGGTGGTCATTAATTTCATAAGAAACTCCCTTGTTAGATCTGTATTAGGAAAAGTTTTAGGAAGATTGGCTGCATTATGGACAAAGAGAATATTGGAGATGATATGCCAATTCATTAAATTTATATGAAGGATTGACTGATTAAGAAATCTTTGGAGAAGTAAGATATAGAATTTATAGAATTCTTAAAGGATTATATTATGATAAATTTGAATATGGATTATGTGAAGAAGATACAGTTAGATTGTTAGTAGAATCTAGTGATATTGGATTGGATCATATAAAATCAATCCTAAATATTTGGGATTAATTATATAAGAATTTTCTTAATTTTAGTAGTGTCAATTTCTTTTTCAAAGTTAAAGAAATACCCTTAATTGGTCCATTTGCTAAAGAATATATGATTAAACATTTAGTTTTTTTATGACGTTAATTCTACATTTTTATCATGTGCAAATGAGTTTTACATTTAACAGACAGTTTTCCTATGGGGAAAGATGCTGTAAGACTTGTAATGGAAGAAATTTAAAGAGAAATTGATATAACTGAAGGTTATTTGGGTATATTGAATGATTAATTTCCAGAGATTGTTAAACAAAAAGAGCATCTAGTAAGATTTAGATTCTCTTAAAGATTAATAAATTTAAGAGAGATATTCCTGAATCAAACGTACTTCATTACAAGACAAATAAAAACATCATTGATTTTGCGTCATTTATATCTAAAATATATATAAGAGAGTTTCTCTTCATATCTCAATAGTTTATTTTAGTAAATTTTAGAAGTTTACAAAAACTTATTTTATTATTTATATATATATATAATTTAATGCAAAGTGTAACCTCTATAGAAGTACCTACAAATTTGCTTAAAATGCCAATAATTAAGAATAAGGATATTATGGAAAAGAAATGTATTTATTTAAATAAATTAATAAGATGAATATGATAAAGTTGGAACAAATTAAAATGTTATTGTTGAACCTGCAGTAGTTAAATTTTGTGGTTTTGAAATTGGCAAACTAAATGAGATTAAAGTGAGAGTCATCAATAAAAACAAACAACCTTAAAGAATTTATGTGTTTCCACCTAAATCAGAAATATTTAATGTCAAATTTGATAAAAAAGGTGCTATACCTAGTGGAATGGCTGAAGAGCTTTATGTGTAATTCAAGCCTTAAGAATATAAATATTTTTATGATGTTATACGAATAAATACTCAAGATGATACTTTGTTAATACCTATACATGCTTATCCTGCACTTAGTCGAGATGGATTAAGAGAATTGTTCCCTCGATTGATTGACTTTGGCACCTTAGATATAGGTGAATCTTAAACATATGTAAAAAATCTTATCATTATAATAGAGTTATCCAATTTAAAGTAAAGTACCTCTTAACTTTGAGTTTGAATTCAACATTACAAAACCTTGTTAAGATATTAAAATTGATCCAATCAAAGGAATTGTACCAGGTAAAGGAAGTATAGATATTTCTATAACATACTGTCCTTAAGTCAATGTGACAGAAGTTATGGAAGTGGAAGTAAAAATTCATCTAAATAATTTTTTAGCTAAAAATAGCTTAATTTGATTTTGAACCATTATGTATCAAAATTATGGGATCTGGTAGATTCCCTGAAAATAAAAAAACTATTAGACCTAATTCAAACAAAAAATTGAAATCTATTACTAATTCTTCTAGAGCTAAACCTCTTTAGAATACTTAAGAGATACCAGTTGAAGAAAGTCCAAAACCAGATGAAACATAATAAATTGAGAATCAAATTTAAGAAAAATCAAAAACCTTGAAAATAACAAAAAGCTCTAAATTAAAAAGATCTAAATCTCAATCGCAAGAAACTAATGATAATGTAGGACTTGATAAACTAAAAGGCAGACAAGTAAAGTATTAAATAACAAAAGTTATTAGAAAAATCATATTTAGATCATTTTAATTAAATCTAAAGTTTGGATAAAGAAAAAGAAATGAGATTTTTTTAATGCGTTGGAGATCCACCAATAACTGAATCTTAAGTATAAGACATTCTCTTTGAAAGATAATAATATCTTAATAACTATTTAGAAGATGTTTAAGCCAAAGGAGCAACAAGATATACATTATTGATTAATTCTGATAGTACAATTGTTGATTACATTCTACCTGAACATCAATAGACTTGGGATTTAGATAAGAATGATACAATGAAAATTAAGAAACTAGTAATATATATTATATATATATTTAGAATTTAAGAAAGTTTGTATGTGCAGCTAGTAGAGTAATCTATAAATTAAGAATGGAAAAAAGATTATAAAAATTAAAGGCATTTTTAAAAGGAGCAACAACTAGAGCAGAAGTTAGATAACTAGTTAATTTGGATTGTTAAAAAGCAGAATATTCAGGTGTTGGTAAAAAAGATTTTGTATAAATTTTAATTAATTATTCAGGTTAAATTTACATTTGAATTCAACTCAGATAATATTGGATTCTTGAAATTACCAGTTCAATATTCAGAATCCAATACAAATTCTTCATTTAAATATACTATAACACCATAAACTGGTTTTGATGATCTAGCTCCATTTGATGAATTACCAAGTGATGATTGTGAAATCATGTAATATAAAGTATGGGAATACCCTTAAATTGTGTATCATCCACCTGTAATTGATAAACCTTTAAGGGATGGTGCAGAAGAGGAAAAATCCCTTAGAGGTGTTATGGGTCCAATAACTTAAATACTTTAGACTTAATATGATGATATTGTAAGAAAAATATATTCTAAACATCCTGATGTTGAAAGCTATTAAATACTTAAAGCACATAAGACATTAAGATTATATTAATAATTTAATGATGGAACTCCTTTAAATACATTCTATCCACTTATGTTTAGTAAAGTAAATGGAATTGGGTCTGATTTAGATCCAGATATAGCTTAGAATCATTAAATCCTAAAATAAGAATTTATCAATAGAACACCAGGTTATTAGAATCTAAATCTTTTATATGAATTACCATTGGATCAATTCTATTATCAAGAAAAAAATATGCAATTAGCTTATGATTTTGGATTTGATGAATAGATAGAATTCTATTGTCCAACAATAATGGCAGAAAAAGAATTAGATGATCAAATGACAGATGATGATAGTGATGAAGATAAACCTCCTTAAATTAATGTTGTAGATTAAAATGATTGGCTTACTAAACTTGAATAGGATGATAAAACTATAACAAATTTAAGACAATCAGAAATTATTGACTCTTTTGAGCAACTAAAAGAAAAATTAGATTCAAATTTAACGTAATAAATTAATTAAAATTTTTAGTTTGGAAAAGAATAAATTTATTTCAACAGTTCCTTCTAAAACTAATGACTTCAATAAGTTTATTAATAGAAATGAAAATAAAATGGTCATATTGTGATTTATAATATTTCCAACATACATTTTATATATATAATAAATTAATAAATACTATAAGGAACCAATAAACAGGTTTCTCTAATATCTAATAAAAATAAATATAAGAAACAATTCTAGATAGATGTATGTTAAATGATAACAAAGTTTTATTGTTTATATAAGAATAATATTTATTATGCTTGACTTTGAACAAGATTTTTATAAGTTTGTTAAAGCTTAATTAGACAAAAAAAAAGGGATCAAATAGAATGGAACAGATGAATCATCTGATGAAGAAGAGACACTAAAGAGTAATTTTATATCTCTTATAAAGAAAATAGGTTAGTAAGTGAGAATATCAATAAAGTACTATAAAATGAAAGAAAAAAGATGAAAATCAGCAAAATAACAAAGGAGTAGCATTTTGAGAAAAAAATGAAAGATTTTGCAAATATGGATACATTTATTGATGTTAAACAGTTCCTTAAAAATCTTAATGATTAATAAAAGAAAAAAACCCATAAAAGGGTGTTTAAATCATTCAAACGTAGTTCTTCAGATAGTGATAATGATGATTTATTTGATTATGCAGAAATTGTTTCGAAAAGTAAAAAATACATTGCAAAATCTCAAAAGTACAGGACTAAACCAAATATTTAGGGCTACCTTCAATTTGAAGAATAACAACTATAAAAAATGGAAAAAATTGAAGAGGGAAGAACTACAAATGAAAAATTCTATACTGGAATTGATAAATTAATAACAGATATTAATCAAAAAAATGCTTAATCTGAAATAGATAAATAATATGAAAAAGAGAAAAAAAGACATAGAAATTCTATGAGTTTAGAATAATAAATACCATAAGCTGTCCAATTAGATTTTGGAAAAGATGAACTAACAATTAAAGCAGGAAAGAAATTCAAAGAATAATCTTAAAAGGTTTTATAACTTCTTGAGAAAACTACAAAAATGTTATATAAAAATAGGATGCCACAACCTCCAAATCCAAAAATCTTAAAACAATAATAATAATAATTGAAAGAATTGAAATAACATCCTACATCTGTTGAGATTAGAAGTTCTAAACAAATCCTTACTAAAAGTCGTAGTATAAGTAAAGATAATAAATTACCCACAATAAATGGTCAAAACAAAGGTTAGAATGTAAAAAGGATCACTCCCTTACATTAATTGAGTCATGCAACCTTGCCAGAAATTAAGCCATAATCTTATGTGTCTCTAAGAGAAGAGAAAAATTTAGAGGATTTACATTACTTTAAAAGTTAAAATTTAATTAAATAAAACTCTTCACCTAATAATTTTAGTCATCATAGCCTAAGCTTTGATGTTAAAAATTAGATTTGTGACTTTATTACTTAAGTAATTTTTATCATAATTTATTCTAGTTGGATAATGCTTAAGAATAATTCTAAAAAATGTATCCTTCAGATTCTTAATTATAAAAAATATAGAATAATATGAGTAGAAAGATGAATAAAATAGGTAAAACTCCTTTAGAAAGTTTAAAATTTTTAACCAGAAGAAAATTTAATTTTTCTAGAAAATTTGAGTTAAAAAGCAAAAAAAATTAAGCACATCAAATTTTTTGAATAAAAATGATTAAATCTATATTGAAATCTATTTTCCAATTTATTTGTTTTAACATAAACAAAATATTGGTTCTGTTTAATCCTTATATTTAATTTTGATCAAATATTTTGAATTATTTCCAATTGATTTTATTATTGAAAATGTCATCCATTCTTAATAAATTTAGAAAGCAACCTTAAAATGATGTACCCCCAGGAATTAAAATAGAGAATACTTTATTTGGATAATAACAAGGAACATATCAGCCTCCCATAATTCCTTCTGTTTAATTACCTCAAACTACCTAACCTAGATAAAAAGGAAGACCAGGAGGAGGTTCTACAAATCTATAATTTTTTAGGCTGGGATGATGAGCCTGAGCCACAATAGTAATAATAATAAGCATTGTCAAACAAGCCAACTAATACGATCAATCTAATTAATGATACACCACCAAAATAAAATGAAAATAAAACAAATATTGATATACTACTACCACCCTAATCCTTTAATAACATTTAATTAAGTAGAGTGACTGATTATAAAAAAGGATAATTATTAACATATGAAGAATTAGAGATTGGGGGATTGTATTAAATATCTATATAATTTTTAGTGAATTTGAATTTCATATTGTAGAAGAAGTAATTAAATTAGGTGGTATTAAATTGAAATAAAGTGATTCAGTTCTTAAGGAATTTGCAAGAGCCTGTTAAACTTTATAGGAATAATTGATTGGAAGTATACTTTTGAATAAGCTATATGGTGAAGAAAATTGGAAAGTTTAAATAGTAAATAAATTAAATCTATTTTTTAGAGATGCATATATGCAATTCAATTTATTAGTTAATAATATTAAAACTATAGAGAATTCTTTTAAATTAATTAGAATTACTTAAAGATTGATACGGATTAATAAATATTATAATCAGCTATTGACTAAACATTATTAGAAATTAATGGATAACAGATATAAAAGTAAAAGGTAATTATAAAAAATTATTTTTAAGGAGATATAACTTGAATTTCGTGAACCACCTAAGCCATAATAAAATATAGTATAACAATAAACTAATCTTTTTGAAATAGGAAATAATGAAGGATAACAGAAATAATAACAATAATAAAAACTTGATTTAAAATCTCTAAAAATAAAATAACCTGAAGTGAAACAATAGACTTAAAAATAATAGAATACTTAAATAGATTTACTTGAAGCATTTAATTAAATATCTCTGTCTAATTATGATTAAAACTAATAATAATAATAATAATAATAATAATAATAATAATAAGGAATTAGCTTTGATGAAATATTAAATACTTAAACATTAGCTTAAACAGTATAATAACCATAATAAAAAAAGAATGCTTTTGGCTTTCTCAAAAAAGATTAATAATAATAACCTTAATAATAACAACCACAATAATAAAAATAAGAATAAGTATAATTAAACTCATTATTATTATAAACACCTCAATAATTATATTAACAACCAGCATTAAATCAATAATAGACTTCAAATATTATGTATGGATAACCATCAAATTTATATAACTTATAATAATAAACTTAGTTAGGATAGCCTAATTATTCATAAGCATTTGCTCAATTTAACATTTAATAATAACAATACAATTTGGTTTAGTAAACCCAATTTACTTAAGAATAACCATAGTAAATATAACAGCCAACCCATAAAGAAAATGCTTTTGATTTCCTAAATTTCTGATTGTTATATAAAATAATAAATAAATCACATAATGTTAAAAAGCAATTCTTATCATATAAAGACACCTAGAAAATTTAGACAACCAAATATGTTATCATAAGAATTATTGTAAAAATTAACTCAATCGAAACTAGAAAATAGATAATAGAAAGAATATTTTGATAAACTTATATTAATTAATGGAGCCAAAAAAGTAAAATAAATTTCTAGATCCATTGAAGGAGGATCTTAAAGTTATAGAGAAATAGTATAATAAAGTTTAAATCTTTTTAATTTAAATAAAGAAGTTATATCAAAGGATTTAAGTTAAAGAAAGTCAAATGAAGAAATACAAAGTACTTAAAAAAAATCAAGACATGTCAGTCATATTAGTTAAATATGGACAAAAAGGAATAGAACTGATAGCAATTCCTTAACTCCAAGGAAAGTGGGAGTAAACGATTTTATATTAAATGCGAGCGCTTTTTTAAAGGAAAAGCAATTAGAAAATTAATTAGACAAACTCTCTTATCAAATAGTATAACTTTAAAATAAATCTAATTAATTGGAGATATAAAATAGAATGTTATTTTCAAATTTGTAATAATATTAATAAGATTCTCATAACATGAAAGTATTATGAATTTTATATTTAGGATAGGCATTCTCTTATTCAAAAATTAGATACAATGATTGTGATGTAATAACGATAGGAAGAAAATCTTAATTACTTTAAATAATTATTTAAAGAGAATAGTGATGAGAACAAGAAAACATCTAATTCCCTCCCAAAACTTAGACCGGCAGGTTTATCAGCATATCTTGGTTTAAAAATTTGATTTAATTAATTCTTCGCCAATTTATATAATATTCTTTAATGCACAAAACTCATGATTAACTTACATAAGAAAGTCAAGAAGATCTTTATAATGAAAATAAAAGTGCATCCTTGTTAGGAGTTAAATCCTATTAGTAGTATGCCTATAGATGGATAATTTTGATATGTTTTCTTAGTGTTGTATTTATTAATGGTATTGCATATCAAACTTTTATTCCAAATGCAAAATAAGTATAATATGATAATAATAAAAGTTTATTGAATTATATGATGTTAGTGAATAAATAATAACATTATCTGGCACAATATTTTTGATAATGTAACCATTGTTTACATTTTTTGCATCTTCATGTATTTATTAAATTTATAATAAGTTATTGTTAAGAAAGGATTTGCATTATCATTAAATTTTGGAGTCTTGTTAACAATAGTTGGATATGGTATAAGATTATTAATAAATAAATTTTCATTTTCAATTGTTATTTTAGGATAAGCATGTCTAGGAATATCAAGACCTTTTATATTGAATGGTCAGATTACAATGGCATAGAATTGGTTTTATCCATCAAATAGGACAGCAGTATTAACAGCTTGTAATGCTTTTTAAACATTTTCTATGATCATAAGTGTTATATGGCCAGCTAATTGGATTTTTCAAGATTATTCTTATACTGAAGAGTTGAAAGAAAAAGGTTTAGAGTTATCTTTAAAACTCTAATATTAATAATTTTTCTTAAGTCTAGTACTTATACCTGTGATCTTTTTAATTAGAAATAATCCAGCAACTCCTCCTTCAGGATTTAAAACTACAGAAAGTGATGTTGGAGTTTAAGAATCAATAATAAAATTATTAAAAAATGGAAATTTCATACTTATTTTATTAACTTATAGTTTTTATTTTGGAACTATTAAAGGATATGGATTAAATGTACCATATTTAATGTCTCCTTTTGGATTTATTGATACTCATTATTCAATTGCTTCTTCAATGCTAATAATTGGTGGATTTATATCAGCAGGGATGGTATCTAAGATTGTATAAAAGTTTAAAAAATATAAGGCTATTGGAATAGTTTTATTAACTATATCTTTAACCTTAACATTATTAACATATCCTATAATGATGACAGAACAATTTATCCCTTTATGCATCTAATAATTATTATTAGGATTTTTTTTAATTCCAATGGTTCCAGTTTTAATGGAATTTGGATGTGAAGCAATATATCCTTTAAATGGTAGTTTTTCTATTGGAGTTATGGTTTCAGGTGCAACAATAGCGGCATTGTTGAGTAGCATTTTATTAACATATACAGCTAAAGGTAAAGATAGTGATAAGTTAAGTGCTTTAATAACTACTATCATTTGGTGTAGCATATTTTTAATAGGATTTATATTCTTTTTGTTAACAAAAGAAATTGAAAATAGATCAAAAGAGCAAGAAGAAAAGGAAAGGAAAAATTTTATAAAATCAGATTCCTCTAATAAAAATCATTAAACTTCAATTAATGAATCATTTCATTCAGAAAAAGATAAAAGTAAAGAGGATTTTAAACAAGAACAAGTAATTATTGTTTAAAATTAATTTTTATAAAATAATGATGATTTAAATAAAAATGATAAAAACAATGATCAATAACAATGAATTTTAATAAAATACATATATTTTAGAATATATGTTTAATAATTACATATGTTTTCTTTAAACTTAATAAATTTTTATAAAATATTTATATATGTTTTATAATTATTGTATTATTATCAAAATGAAATAGAAATAATTAAAACAAAAAAAAAATCTAAATTTAATATGAATAATCTACATAAAATACTCTCATTTAAATCCTTTTTCTTGTTATGATTTACTCCAAGCCTAAGCAATTGTTCTCTTCATTTCATCATCTCCATTTTAATACATCTCTTTCATCATATTCATTAATGAAGCTTGTGGATCCTCTTTATCTACTTTTGATGAATCAGTGTTTATCTATAATAAATTGTTTTACATACCAATTTTTCTTTATATGCCAATTGATCCCAATGTTTATTCTCTTTTTTGATCAAATTAATGATTAATGAGTTATTAGTAGTTTTGATAGAACATTCTCGATCTTTCAAATCATCAAAAGTCTTCTTAATGCCAAATCTAAAATAGTATATAATTCATACCTCTAATTAATTCCTTTATAATTCAAAATCTTAACATCAACACTATGAGTAGAAAATGAACTAATTATATTCTCTTTAGGTAATTATCCTATTCCATCCATACTTATTATTATTTTGATTTTATTCCCCTCTTAGTCCCAAGCATATTTGGTTATTCCTTAATATTAAAGAGAATCTTAATCTTTAGAATTTTATTCATGTTATTTTTCAGGTTACTCAACTTTTTATGGAGTTAGTATTTTTATAGAGTTTTCTAAGTATTTGATTCTATTGTTCAAATATTCAATATTGCCTTTACGTTTTAATGTTCCTAATACTTATTAAACTTCTTCTAAATCTAATTAGAGGTTCTCAAGTTCAGACATTTTATTTGATTAATTGGAATTTTAATATATATATATGAGTTGATCAATCAAGGAAATTAAAATAACTTAATTTCTAGAATATTTCTATTAAGTTTTCTCTTTCTTTTATAATAATTAAATGAGCTATTATTAATTCTTATTTACAATATTCATTTGATATGTAGATATCATAATTAATAAAATATAATGAGTTATCTAAATTGTAAATGGAAATAACATTACATAAGAAAGTCAGCAAAGATTATGCAATTACCAAGGATTAAATTTCAAAAGGAAATTAGAACTAAGTCTATTGATGATATATTCGAGAAAACTAAGCTTAATTCTTAAAGGGAAGAAAACAACGAAGAAGACAATATATTAAGAAATAGTGATAGAGTAATGTATAATTGGTCATAATATTTTGAATAGTGGAGTAAGCAAGAATATAGCAAAATACTAAATCCGAAACTAAATTCAGATCAGTTTCAGTTGCTCTTATAAAACAAAAATTATAATATGAATATGAAGAAGATCTAACTACCATCCATAATAAATGTGGAATGAAGGTTGTGAATTAAGCTTAATAAATGCATAATTAAGCTTAACCTTAATTAAAAAATCTTAGTGATTATGAAAAATAGAAATAATAAGTAAATGAGATCTTTAAGAGTCTATACACATCTCATTAAGAAAAGCGAGTTAATATAGAAAGATTAGTAAGTGATCGACCTTAAAGAAAGAAACCTATTGATTGGAATGAAGTGAGAAGAAGGTTACCAAAAGATCAAATAGGAACTATATATGATCCTACAAGATTTTAGAATTTATATGAAAAATTCAACAATGAAATTGAAGCTAATGCTCCTCATGGACCATTTATTAGTTTTCGTTAATTTTTGAGGGAAAGAAGAGGACACTTCAAAGATTGATTTATAAAATTGATTTCTTATTTAAAAAAATGACTTATTCAATTTTATGTATAATTAGATTATCTAAGAAAATAATATTGAAAAAGCTATAATTTATAATAGAAAATCATTTTAATATAAAGGTTCAAACATTTTATTAACCAATTTTATTTAATTAAATGATAAAACTCAAATTTATATGCATATTATATTTAAGATTTATGTAATCAAATATTTGCTTGAAATATTTAATCTTTTAAAAACATTTAATATTTCTAATAAACCTATAAAGCAAAAATTCATTTTTATTGTTATGATTATGCCTAATTAAAATGCAGTTTTTCAAAATATTTTATTTTCTCAATACAAACTGAATTCAAATTGCATAATTATTACACTTTGTATTACAAATCATTATTTTCAATGTTCTTTTCTTCTAATTACATTTATAACTATTAGTATTAACGTCCTTAAAATTAATATTAAGCTTCTACAATCTATAAATCTTACTTTAATTTATTTAATTCATCCTTAAGTTATACATTTTCAAGCTTAAGTTTTCTTATTTCTTCGCTTTCGTTTTGGCTCAAGGCTTTTGAGGTTATAGACTTTTTGTAATAGTGGATTGAGTACATCTATATCATTATTGTTTTACAAAAAATCTAATGAGTTAATCAACAAAGTAAATTCAACAAAAGCTTTTGTGTCAGGACATTAAATTAGATTTATAGAGTATTCCTTTTATCTCATATTTAGATTTAGAGCAACAGACATGTCAAATTTTGCATAGCCGGCAATCCTTTTAGTCTTTCCATCACTTAAGACTACATTAAGTTTTCTCTTATATACAATAAGTGCTGCAAACTTACAATTTTTTCTTCATACTTGAGATTTACTTTTGTAACAATGCATTTCACTTCCATATATTATTCATATTAATGATTAATCTTCATGTAATTAAGTAATGACACATTTTTATCTAGACTTTTTATTTCAATATTGAACGCTATATCTGAATTTAATGTCAATTATAGTCTTTTAAATATGATCGTATATGTTAATATTTATTTCATTATGATATTATAAATATTTTATATATTATAAGTGTCAAATATGAAAACTCTCTCCACAACCACATTAACCTTTTTAATTTGGATTCTTAAAAACAAATTCACTTTTAATGTCATCTTCTACATAATCCATTTCAGTTCCTACTAATACCATTACAGCTTTAGAATCAACAATGACTTTCACACCTAAAATTTTAATAAACAAGACCTTTTGCTTCCACAACTTCATCTAATTTATCTGGTCCAGAACAATAGTTCATTGTATATGATAATCCATTACAACCTCGTTTTCTTACTCCTATTTTAACTGCATCAATTGCTGGATTATTCTATTATTTCATAAGTTCTGTTATTCTTTCTGCTGCTTTATCACTCTAGAATTAGAATAAAAATACTATTGTAATTAGGTTTCTTTTTGGTCTAAGCTTTGTTATAGTACTCATATAAAATTTAATCATTAATTTATATAATATTGATAATATATAGATCAAATAGTATTTAATAGATGCTCAATCGTTAATTCCTAATATAAATTGGTTTTAAATTTTGATAAATTCTTCGAGGGAATATCCTATTCTTACATCAACTCAAGTAAATAAGTAGTCAGATATTGTAATTCTCTATCTGAACTATTATCATAAAAAGGAATTATAGGTATCCCATTTTCAATTTAAAAGCAAAAAGAATAGGAAGCATTGTCAATTAAGACTAAATCTTTTAGATTTCTATTTCCCAGTACTCTTAAATCTTTAATATGGAGACTGTCATCAACAACAACACAACTTTCTCTAAAAAATCTATGATGAATCCATTTTTTGTCTGGATCTATGTAATTAATGACTTTCTAAGCATAACATTCATGTGAAGCAGTAAATACTATAATTTCATACTTTTGACTCAGTATAGCCAACATTTCTCTACAATAAGGTCTAAGGTTGATTCCAGCTTGAACTGTTTCTCCAGTAGGAAATTTAATAGTTAACACAGTATCTGATGGATCATCATTAGATTCTTAACAATGAATTAAAGTTTCATCTAAATCAAAAACAATAGTTTTTTTGACTAAATAAATTTTAAGTAATTACATTTATTATCTGGCAAATTTACAATTTTATTAGCTATTGCATTTATTGATGGTTTAACAATATCTTTACAATATTATAATGCATGATAGCTTTATTAAAAATGATCTTAGTAAATGTCTAAAAAGTATTAATTAGTTTTTAGGTTAAATAGTTATTTGATTTCAGTTTTAGATAATTTGTTATTAAAATATCTTAAGAAACTCATATAGTATTCGAAATCAACATAAGGTGATTGAGGTCCTAAACTTTATTTAGGCATTAATCTTCGATCTGGAGAGACACTTCTCATTTTCATTTTTGTCTCCCTACTCATTGTAGGAATAGGTGTATAAATATTTTCTTTAGTAGCTCTTCTGATAGGACTATTCATCCTTTTTCGATCTTACTATTTTTTAGGTATGATATTAGCACCCTTGGAGAGACGCATAACATATTTAGATAAAGGAGCGGATGTTGGAGGAGACATTAATGGTGTTGTACATTTTGACTCAGAAGTATTTTAATCTTATTCAGAGAGTGCAAATATGGTTACTGGTTTAGGAATTTCAATGTCAGGTATAGTTTACTAAGACTCCTCTTTTTCTTTTAGTACTTCTTTTTATCCTGAACTATTGATTCGTTAGCGTTCTTATGGTTTATTTTACATAGTTCTTTGTATTAGTGTAAGTTTCTTTTATTGCTATGGTTATTATTTTTTATCGCTGTCAAGAGTACGAGTTGATTTTGGAGGTTCTGGCAATGACAATTTAGGATCACATCGTTGGATATTTTTTTATTACACTATTGTATATTTGGCAGACGGGATTCGTTTTTAAGACGATTTAGGTCTTGAATTGACCAATGCTTATAACAACGAAGTCGTAGATTACGTTTACTAAATATTCGCAACAGAGCCGTTGTTTCTAAGCATAATTTTAATTATGAATTAAAAAATCAAACTAAATTTATTATGAATATTTATAAGCTCTTTATTTATTTAAAATTGCACTAAAACAAACAAGCTTCCCTTTAAAGATAAATATTTAATAATAAGTTGAATGTGATTTTTATACTTTGTTTATATACAACATAACCTTAATTAAAATAATATACATAATGAGAAGTATAATCAAGATCTTATTTAAGCGTCCTCAATTTTGGTTGTCAAGAGTTGTACCTGCATTGGGTTAAAAGTCTATATTTAAATATAGTGCAAGTATAAAGTATACAAATTATTTAGATTCAAAACATTTCTTAAATAGTAAACTCAAAACCATTCCCTTACAGAATTATAAGGCAGATTAAAGTGAAATAGATTCCAAAGTAGAACCAACTGATTTTTATCTTTTAAGTGATATTCAACCGATCTTTCCTAATAATCAAATAAAATGTAAGGTCTAAGTTAAAAATTTGAAAAGAATAACTAAGCCACTTCTCTATTCAATTATTTCCCCTGATAATGATAATGAAGAAATATTTACTATAGGAATAGCTTTAGGTAAATCTGCCGAAAGGAATTTAAATGCTGAATAAAAAAGCATGGAAAAATTTATAGATGCGAATAGATACCTGATGTATAAGGATCCTCTGAGCTATTCATTTTAGTTAGATATAATTTCAAGAAAAGTATGAGAATCAAATATTTAGAAAAATTATCGATTTAAAATTACTAAAATAGAAATGACACCAGATGGAATATTTGCTTAAGGAATACCATATAAAGATCGTCCATTAACATAAGCAGAATAAATAATTGATATTTAACATGAAATTCGTATGGTGAGTTCACTTGTACAATAAATAAGAAAATTAGCATAATATGATAGAGTTGAAGTATTTTCAGAAGTTAAATATTCTTTATTGGATTCTAGTGAAAAACTTACTCCTAATTAAGTAGATGAATTAGTATTTTAAATTGCATCAGGTCTATCTAAATTTTTAACCAAAAATCTGAAAATGAACACATCCAATTTTGCATAACAATTATTAGAGAGTTAAACTTATATTGATAGACTCTTTATACTTAGAAAATAATTAGAAAATACATCAGGAGTACTTGATTTAGTGAATAAGCATTTCAAAGAAGCAGACTCTTCTCTATTGAAATTACATTAATAAACTTTAGCCAAATTGGCAACAGAATTTATTAGATAAAACTATTTAAAAGATGCTTCTTAATCTTAATCATAAGGAGGAACTATTGGAACTCAATAATATGGTGGAGGTGATAAGGTACATGTTTCTACAATTAATTTAAAGTAATCATCATTAGTAAAAAAGTATTTCGATAATTTATCATTAATTACTGATGAATCCTCAAAAGAGAAAGTTAAACGAGAAATAGAGAGATTTAGTTTATTCGACAAACAGAGTTCTGAATTTCATAAAATTAATTCTTATTTGGATGAAGTTTTTAGTATTCCATTTTAAAAATTTACTGTAAGATATATCAAGATAAATAGCCTGTTTAATGGGATATCTAATTTGCAAAAGATGTTCTTGACAAGGAAATTGAGGGTTTAGAGAAAGTCAAAGAAAGAATAATTGAAATGATATCAGTCAATAAATTAAAAAATGCAGGATAAAAAGCAAAGGGTTTTATTCTTTTATTAAATGGTCCTCCAGGTACAGGAAAGACTTCCATAGCAAAGAGTATTGCAAAAGCATTAAAGAGAACTTCGAGATTTATATCTTGTGCTGGAGTTGCAGATCCTACTTTCTTTAAAGGACATAAACGTACTTATGTAGACTCAATGCCTGGTGTGTTTATTAGAGAATTAATCAAATCAAATACTATGAATCCTATATTCATACTAGATGAATTAGATAAAGTATCCAAACATCATTCAGGTGGTGCTGATCCTTATTTTACATTATTGGAAATATTGAATCCTGAAGAGAATCATAATTTTACTGATCATTATATGGATATTAGTGTAGATTTTTCACATGTAATTTTTATACTTACTTCAAATGATACACTTTAAATGTTAGAGCCTTTAAAAAATAGATTAGAAACAATCGATATCTAAGCTTATATTTAAGAAGAGAAATTATAAATAGCAACAAATTTCTTAGTTAATAAAAGTATTGAAACTAATGGTATCTAACAATAAATAATTAAATATGATGAATAAACATTGACTAAAATTATTAAAGCATGGTGCTATTAAGAGAGTGGAGTTAGAGAATTAAAGAGATGCTTAGAAAAAATTGCTAGAAAACATGCAACAAATCTATTAACAGCCAATCCTGATTTATGTGATAAAGTTGATGAATTAAATCATATAATTTTTGATCCTATTAGTTAAAGTTTAGATTTAACTAAAGATCAAAATTTAGAATTAATATCATAATATTTAGGTCCTCCTGTCTTTGATATCTAATTAGAATAGAGATCAGTTAAGAAATTTCCACCAGGACAAGTTAACATTTTAACTGTAGGTGGAATGATTGGACATGTTTTAACTGTCGAAAGTTGTATTGACTTAAGTGAAATTGAAAAGAAGGGATAAATATTAGCTTCAGGAAATATTAAATTAGTTTTATAAGAGTCACTTAAATTAGCTAAAATAAATGCATTTAAATTTTTGAATGAAGAATAGAAATAAAAATTATAGAATTCTGCAATTCATATGCATTTCACAGAAGGAGCTACACCTAAAGATGGTCCTTCTGCAGGAACAGCTATTACAACTGCTTTATTAAGTTTAGTTATGAATGTAGTTGTACCTAGTAATTTAGGAATGACTGGAGAAATTTCATTAAATGGTTAAGTATGTAAAATAGGTATTGAATACTTTAATTAATAGGTGGTTTATAATAGAAGTTGATTGCTGCAAAGACTCTAGATATTGTTGATATCATACTTCCTTATGCTAATTTAGGTGATGCATTAAATTTACCACTACAACTTATCAAAGGTTTAAATCTATATTT